GGAGGAGGAGGAGGGCTGGGACCCCATTCCCTCGGACCTCGCGACGAGGCACGACGGTGGCGACAGCTGCGCAGCACACACCGGGGAGGCGAGGCCCCGTCTGGATCTCCAGGGGTCCCGCCCCACCGGCCCTCCCCGACGCCCACGGCAGCGGCGGGAGTCGCGCAGCTCAGCGCCCAGGAGGCGAGGTTCCGTGTAGGTTTGCGCAGGGCCGCCTTCCGTTGGGACTCGCCAGGGAGTTACGCCGGTGGCCCTGGTTGCGCTCTCGTGGCGCACAGGTGGGCGAGGCCTTTTGTGGATCTGGTCAGGGCCGCGCCCGGCTCCTGGCTCCAGCTGCTGCGAAGCTGGAACCTGCGAAACTGGCTCCAGTTGCGTAGTTGGCAGCGTCCATGGACGAAAGGTCTTATTTTGGAGCGAACGTAGCGCCAGAGCAGCAGCTGGTGGCACCCAGGAGGGCGATGCAGGAACTCGAATGCAGGAGAAGGGAGGCGGCAAAGATGCGGAAGAGGGGAGGTGGCAGGGAGAAAAATGGAGGGACGAAAGACGAGATGAGGAGCAGCAACGCTCCACTGAACACGAGGGCCCAACCAAAGAAGTGTTCGGTGAAATCAGTTCTTTTTGATTGAGTGGGCCTCTCGGGGGAATCCCTGTGCCATGGGATGCTCCAGCGCGTCGCGAAACCCTGATGCCGACCCCAGTGGATGGACTTCCTTTATCAAGGGGTGAGGTGCGGGGTAAGCTCCTTCCCGAAGGGGACCTGGGGCACTGGAACAGAGGGCTTGCGGAACCTTCCGTGACTCGCCGATGTTTCTTCATTGCTCCCATTCCTGGATTTTTTGGCCAGGGTGTTGCGCCCCTCTGTGCTGGTCGCACCCTGTGGGTGCTCCGCCCCACCCTCCTGCTTCTCTCATCGTTTTGGACTCTCATGCAGCATGTCCGCTTCCATATCCAGTTGCTCTGCCGCGCTCTTCCACTACGCAAGGAAAGCATGATCAAAGACATGGGGTGTGTAGGGTTATAGAAATTCACAACCTGCGTAGCGTATGTCATCTTCATGACGTGTACCTTATCCCCACCAGCCCACCCATAAACAACCTCCATGCCAGCTGTCGTGAGAAAGGAAGTGGCGGAGCGCTAGTGAAGCAAATTGGGCGGGCACCATTAAAACGAAAGCGGGACTCAGCCAAGCCAGCCCCCGAAATAGTTTACTTGGGGTCTTCTGAGAGCCCCGTGGTTGCTTCCTGGATGCACCTTGCGGCTCTTCCGGGCACCCTCTGGCGGCTCTTGCTGCGCTCTCTTGGCTCTGAGGGCCGTCAGTGGAGCCTCTGTGCCTCCGATTTCCCTTCATCCCTGCGAGCTCGATCGCTGTGACATTGTTGGGGCGATCTTTAGGGCCTTCAGGGCCCTCTAGCGCTCCAGACCCCTCTTGGGTACCCTCTTCGACGGTCTCGGAGGTGTCAGGAGGTCGCAGAGGCTAATCGACATGGCGGTAACCTGGTCGATAAAGCAATCATCCGGGCGATGGACCCGACCATGTCGGGTGCGAGTATGGTAATGTAGGTGGGACGACGGAGGGGCAGCTCCTTGTGGGGCCACGACACGTGTGAAGGGTGTGCCGAAATGGGTGCTACGCCGCTATGCGGACCCTGCCGCTGGGGCCTTCGGTGGGGCTCCCGATGGAGCCGCGACGCGTGTGAGGGGTGTGCCGGAAGTGCGGAGCTCAGAGACATGCACAGGAGGAGGGATGAGGAGGGAGGGGTGACGTTCAAGGGAGGAAAAACCACCCAGACCGCACGATTGGCGTTTACTGAACGGCCCTCGGCATTTACTAAACAGTCCTGCCCTGTTTGATTCCTTCTTTGGGTGCGTTTACTAAACGGCTTCGCTTGTCGGGGTCATTGTTATCGGGGTGGATTTTCTGCCCTCGAGACGTTGTGAGGTGAGAGTCGCGGGGCGCTGCTGATTCCAGACGAGGGCCCAACACCACAGGATGGCTGGGAAACTCACTTGAAACCCATGTGCCCTTCGCCCGTGACCAGCGCGAGCCGTCTTGACGGCTTCTAGGAGCTGCTTGCAGCTATGCTGAATGTCACCTCTAGCCTTTTTGCGCCACATGGGAGGCAGCTTTCGGGTGTCTGGGGGTACCATCAGAGAGTTGGAGCTCACATGAGATGCTCCTAGATCGTCGCAGTGGGTTCTGAGGTCCTGGAGGTTGTCTGGGATTGCCCTGGGTGCCATGACACTCTGGGGCCCATCCTTGGGGCCTGCCAGGGCTTCAGGTGGGATCCTCGAGGCACCCCTTGGCTCCCGTGAAGGCCTATGAGGTGGAAGGGCCTGAAGGGGACGCGACTGGTGGTAGGGATGGCGTGAGCCTCGGGTGGCCAGCCGCCGTGGTGGCTTGTCCAGTAAGCCCGCGGAGAGCGAGAGGGTGCAGAGCCCCGTGGGAACCGTGCACGGCGGGGCAGCAGAACGTGCCACCCTCCGGCCTGCCCCCTTCCAGCGGGGGCCGGGCCGAGGGCAGCCCCTGCGAGGGCATCGGAGGGGTGCGGCTGACAGATCCGCGCACGGGCTTAGTCATGACGCCACCTGGTTTGCCCAGGCAGCTCTTGGGATGTCCAGTGTGGGAACAGCGCCTGGGCAGGCGCGCCCGTGGCTGAAGCACACGCCTGTCGCAGCACGCCTTGACGTGGCATATTGGGCTCGACATAGGCGTGGCCATCGCACCGGAGAGTCTTCCATTCACCGAGCGCGTTCCACTGCTCGCAACGTGCATACTCGCAAACGTCAGAAGAAACACATGTCCGTTTCGATGTAACTTATCGCAGATCTCCCGCTGCGGATGCAGGCCATTTGCGAGTAGTTACTCTGCGAGTAGTGGGACGCGCCTGTCTATCAATGTGCCAGACTGTGGTGATCTTCGGGGGCGTTTCGGCTGCCGAGCCCAGGGCATGTCCCCGGATGATCCAGCTCCGCCCCAGCCGCCATGGAAACGCCCAACGTCACCAGTCTCGAACTTATCCCTATCCCGAAGATTGACACGCCAAAAGGCGATGACAATCTTTAGGGATGCGCCCTGAAAGACTAAGGGAATCCCTAAGATTGGCATCGCGATGAGGCGATGCCCAGCTTAGGGACAGGGAGATGTTCCAGGATTGTAACAACGATGATTCCCGATCTCTGCTCCTGGGGCAGAGAAAACTGTGCGCGTGCACCGGTCTTGGCCAGGCCCACGCGGGGGCCCGGGCTCGGTGCGCATATGCCGTCCTGGGCAGGGCAGAAGGGCGCACGCACCAGTCCCGGGCTCGGGATCTTGGCATCGCTCGGACGTGTGCATTTTCTCCTCGGCGAGGACCATCGAGGACCATCCTGGACCATCGAGAAAAAAAAAACATGCACGAAACCGAGAAATGCACGAGAAATGGGGGTCCGAGCGACGGCAAGGGATGGGCCCGGCCAGAATCGGGGAATGTGCGCAGTTCCCGCTCCTTCTTACATTTCTCCGCGCGTTTCGTTGCCGGCTCCCTCAAGGTGTGGCGCTGGTCCGCGCGGGTGCTGCAGTCGCGCCTGCTGCGCTGGTGGCGGCGGGTCTCGCGACAACTCTGCAGGAGAGGCATCTCAGGGGCAGCGGGCTCTCGGTCCCCGCGGGGTTCCCAGGACGCCTCGGGCAGTTCGTGGAGCAGGCTGCGTAGGGGCTCAAGTGGTCCCGCCCGGGGCCTCCGGGTCTTTGGTGACGGTGGCGCCAGCTTCCTCTTTCTCTATGTGTGTGTAAGTGTGTGTGTGTGTGTGTGTGTGTGTGTGTTTGTGTGTGTGTGTGTGTTCGGCGCTAGACCCTTTACTCGAAATCGGATGCGCCCAGCTGCTGGGCCGGGATCTCTGAGAGAGCCATCACTTGCATGGTTGGAGTTAGACAGTAAATCACAAAAGTTCCCGCTCTCCTTTTTTTGTAATCGAATGTTCTAAGATTTGCACCTCGGCGAGTGGCGCCCAGCACAGCCAAATAGCGCTCCATAGTGCCCAGCAGCGCCGAACAGCGCTGAGTCGCGCTCCAATAGCGCCCAGCAGCTACCGAACAGTGCCCAGCAGCGCCGTGCGAGGGAGACGCCTTGCGACCGCCTTGCGCGGTGCTGAACGCCATGGGACCCCCTGTTGGACGCCATGGGGACGACCACAAGCTCGGTCGCAAGTGATTGTAGCCGCCCTGACGTGTGTAGTGCTGCATGATATACTGAGGACACACTACCCAACTATAGGACAAGGTGAAGTCGACACTGAAGACAGCCAGCATCGTGTAATACAATAATATCGCTGCTGTGGGTCCGCCCTCAGTTTCCTCCCGTGCCGCCTCTGCTCGAGCTGCTCCTTCCGCGCCTGCAGCTCCTGCCTCGGCCCCTGGGGGTGGCCGCGGGGCCGCTCCGCGACTGCTGCCGGGCTGCTCAGCGCGGGCTGGCCGCGCCGGCCACTCCCGTCGAAGGCTTTCGCTCAGTGAGTGCCCTCCCTCTTCCTCCCAGCTCTGCGGCCGCGCTCCGCCCCCCCCCACCCCTCGTGCCGCCGGACGACTAGTTCGTCCTCTCCCGGCTGACTCGAGCGCGCGTGTGCATCGCTTCTGCCGCGCTGCGACTAAAGAAATCAGTCCTCGCAATTCCGTCTTCAGAGCGCATTAGAGTGCGCTCCAGGAACGATTCCCAGGATAATCGGGGTGACCAGGGAAGTGTAGGAGCAACATGCGAGGCAGCCGTTATCTGTTGAAAGGGGAGCAGGATGAAGGAGTATATGGAGGAGGCGGAGGAGGAAAGGGAAGAGGAGGAGGAGGAGGAGGAGGAGGAGGAGGAGGAGGAGGAGGAGGAGGAGGATATACATGAAAAATAAAGAATTTGCAGATGAAAAGCAGGACGAGGGCGAGCAGAAGGCCAGAGACCTCTTGGATGCCCAGGAGTTTCCTTGGATGCCTCTTAGATCGTCCTGGATGCCTCTAGGTGGTCTGGGGGCCCCTTGGGGCGTGTTGGGTGCCGTTTAGGGGGGGCCTCTTGAGGCCTCCTGGGGCCGTTTAGGCACCTCTTGGGGGCCTCTTTGGGGCCTCTCGGGGCTCTCTCGGGAGCCCTGGGGGCCTTGATGAGGCCATCCCGTGGGACATCGATCAAAGAAGACTGGAGCTTTGGTTGGCGCCGCACCTCTAGAGCCTCCAACTTCGCCTCTTGGGGTCCTCTTGGAGCACTCTAAGCACGCTCTGTGGCGCTCTTGAGGCCGTCTTGGAGCCCTCTTGGGCCTTCCTTGGCGCCCTCCGGGCCATGTTGCAGCCATCTTGAGGCTTCGAACGTCCATCGGAAGCGAACATGCGAGACAGCAAACAGCGCTGATGGTCTCAAAGTTTTAGAAGGAGTTCTTGGTCAGGGGGCTCTCTTGGGGGTGCTCCGAGGCCACTAGGAACCGTCTTGGGGCGGTCTTGGAGCCACTCGGAGCATCTTGGAAGCCATCTTGAGCAATAGTGAGCCATCTGGAGCCGTCTTGGAAACCATCTTGGGCTCTCTGAGGCCCTCTTGGAGCCATCATGGGCCATCTTGGACGCTCCAGTGGGTCGGGGGGCGCCCCGTTCAGGTTCAGGGGTAGGGGGTAGGGGGATGGGTCAAGCTTCCCACCCGCCCGCAAGCAGTCTTGCTCACTCCCACCCGCCCTCCCAACACATACCTAACACCCGGGAGTCAGCATAGCGCGCAAGAACCGCAGACGCCACGGGTTCCAGATGCACCAGACCCTGGAGGCCCAAGCGTGCCAGGCGCACCAGGTGCGGCACGTGCTCCACGTGCGCCAGTGTTCCACGTGCTCCAGCCGCGCCAGGTTCGCCAGCCTCTTGGAGCGTCTCGGGTGCCTCGGGGAGGCCTCTTCGGGGCCTCTTCGGGGTCTCTTGGGAGCCTCTTGGATGCCTTTTGGGTGCCTCTTGGGGCCTTCTGGGCGCCTCTTGGTGTCCTCTGGGGGCGCTCTTGAGAGCCTTGGGAGCACTCTTGCGGCCATCTTGGAGGACATCGACCAAACAAGAGGGGAGCTTTAATTAGCGCTGCCCCTCGGGAGCCCCAGAAGTTGCCTCTTGGGACGCTCTTGGGGCGCTCTTGGAGCGCTCTTAGGTGCTCTGGGGGCCGTCTTGGGGCTCTCTTGAGCCTCTCTTGGAGCCCTCTTGGAGTCCTCTTGGGCTATTCTGGAGCCATCTTGAGGCCTCGGATGGCCATCGGAAGCGAAAAGGCGAGAAAACACAAAACAGATGTTCCTTAGGTGTTGGAAGGATGTTGGCCTCTTCGGGGCCTCCTTTGGAAGCTCGTTGGCCACTTGAAGCCGTCTTGGAACCGTCTTGTGGCCCCTTGGAGCGTCTTGGGAGCCATCTTGAAGGATCTTGGGATATCTTGAGCCATCTTGAAGCTCATCTTGGGCTCCCCGAGGCGCTCTTCGAGCCATCGTGGATTATCTTGGACGCTCTAACCCCTCGCGGAACCCCCCGTCCAGGTCCAGGGTAGGGGGTAGGGGGTGGGGTCAAGCCACCCACCCGCCCGTCTAGCTCACTCCCACCCGCCCTCCCAACAAATAAGTAACACCCGAGCCTGAGCATGTTCAGCGGTCGTCTTTGGATGGGCAGCTACTGGGAACCAAAGCCGACCCCAGGTGCGCGACGCTTGGGCGAGGTGCGCCATGCGTGCCAGGGGCGCTACGCGCGCCAGGCACCCCTGGGGCCCGAGCGTGCCAGGCACGCCTGGTGCGCCAGATGCGCCACGTGCTCCGAGTGCGCCAGGTGTGCCGCACACTCCAGCCGCGCCAGGTGCGCTACGTTAGGGGCACGTGCAGGGTGCGTCAGGTGCGCTTGCGCACGTGACAGCACACATCGGGAAACATGTCGGTCCCTGGCTCGTCGAAAACCATTGCCCATAATTGTGTCTGGCGGGCCTGCGCACAGCAGGCCACGCGACACCACCCCCGCCGTCCCTGTCACACATTACTTGGCAGTGATTGCGGGCTGGCCGCGCATGATCCAGATTTAGCCGCGAGGTGCATGTTGTATTGTTTTGTCAAGGATGGCTGCTCTGCGCACAGCAGGGAAGATGCTGACACTCCCGCCTTCCCTGTCAGCGACAATACAAAGTGCTCGCGGGCCTCACGAACGTGACTCAAGACTTGGCCCCAACGTGTACTTCGCCTAGTTTTTTTAACAGGGAGGGGGGGTGCAGTGGGTTGGCCGCGCGTGCTCCGAATGTGGAGGCAGAGAGCGGGTTGTATTGTTTTCGGGAGGGATGGTGGGGGGCGGGCCCGCGTGGAGTCGGCAGGGTTCTGGGTTGGCCGCCGGTCGAGTGGGGGAGGGAGTGTATATGAATAAGGAACAGTGATAAACCCCTCCCTGAAGGGGAAGATGGGGAGATGGAAGGCGAAGCACCCCAGACCACCTGCGCCCTAAGGGCTGGTGGGATTGCGAGCCCCGCCGTTGGCTTTTCAGAATTCTGACCCGTGGGGGTACGACTCACCTGCTGTTGCGGATATAGCCAGGACCCCGGTGAAGTGGAGCCGGTCAGTGATTGGGACCCGAAGACAAAAATATGGATTGGAATCACTAAACCAGGTTTGCCGTAGCTGGTGCCTTACGGGTGACGGCAGTTCCGGATAGTGGAATTGGACTGGGGGTGGCGTCCCCGGTACAGAGCACTAAACCAGGTCTCACTAAACCCAGTTCTGCCGTCGCCCGACCTGCTGCCTGTGAAGGTGGTCTGGCGACGCCACCCTGCCGCTGGTCTGCAACGCCTGCCCCTACCTCTTCAGGCCCTCGCGACTTCCAACGCCGCCCGCTCAGCCCGGCAGCATCGCTGGCGTGGTGTCTTCGGGCGTTGCGTGGTGGGGGGGGGCGATAATCGCCGAGCGCGTTCCACTGCTCGCAGAGTGCCTGCTCGCAAACGTCCGACAGCAACGTCTGTGTCGACGTAGTGGATCGTGGCTCCCCCGCGGCGGATCCAGGCTATTTGCGAGTAGTTACTTTGTGCGAGTAGTGGAGCGCGCTTGTCTAGATACTTGGGGGGGTGAAGAACGGTGTACTTCTTGTGTCCTCAAGGGGCCCCGACGTGGCCCCCTGGGGCCCACGAGGGGCACGAAGGGTGCACGTCTCTCCGCCCGCCACTGTCATCGCCCCCCCACCAAGACGCAACGCCCACCGTCCAGATCCGAGCGTTGTCAGGATCGCTGCCCCGCGCTCGACGAGGCATCTGCAACACGTCAGGAATCAGAAGCCAGCTCTTCTCCCCCGCGTGTCGCACAACAACACGTGCAGCAGGATGAGGGCATTAGACGCACCAGGTGCGCGAATTACTGCGAGTGCAAACACGTGCCCTCCGGCTGCGCACGAGAAGTCACGCGGTTGCGACCATCGGCGGCGTGGTCACCGCGACGGGGCCCAGCCAGCCTCGCCCCTTTTCTGTCGGGAGAGCAGAGTTCCCCGCAGGAGAAGGGGCACAGGATCTGCTCTTGAGGGACATGGGGGCGCAGGATCTGGCCTGATCCTCTGATCGCAGTGGGCGGGCCATCTTTTTTGGGCACGCCGAGGCCATTTGCCGCTGCGGAGCGCTACCTGCCGCGGCTGTGCAACTGCACCGGCCCGGTGGGCTGCAGGTTCCCGCGGAGCGGCCCTGGCAGCCGCAGCCGCCTCGAATTCTGCAGGATCCCAGTCACCCTGGAATGACGCCGAGGACGCTGGTGGCCACAGTGGCAGTGCGGCGGGGCTGGCCGTGTGGCGCGCGGGCGCTGCGCGGAGGACCGGCCGCGGGCGGGACGAAGGCAGCCCCCACCTCTCGTATCCCCTCGGGCGAGCCGACGGCCTTTGGAGGGGCGGGGGGGGGGAGGGTGAAGGAGGGGGGTGGGCAGGGGGGATGATGGGACGGGTGCGCGGGCGTTTATGTGTTGATCCCCTAAGAGTGGATCCTTGTCCCTGGTTTCTGAGAGGGCCGGTGGGCGGGATGTGTCCGCGATGAGCGGCGGCCGCTGCCGTCGCTCCAGGGGGCTTGTCTTTGCTCTCTTTTGCTGCGCTGCCGCCCGTCACCTGTGGCGCGCCCGGCTGCTCGCGTGCCATAGCGCACCGGTGGTATTGACAGGCTGAGCAGCGTCGACAACGGGCATTCGCAAGTGTGCAATTATGTGCTAGCCCCCGCAGTTGTGGACAAGAGCGAGGGGGCGGGGGTCGCGGGCGGTTCACGAGGTTGGACCGAAAATTTTAAAAGGCCCGCCGCAGGCGCCGATTTGTTGTGACATACGTAGCGAGCCCGCTGATGGCGCATGTTGATGATATAAAACAAAATGTCGATGGGTCGCGGGTGGGTCGCGGGTGGGTCGCGGGTTGGTCGTTGTTTTGTCGCGGGCGGGTCGCGGGTGGGTCGCGGAGTGGGTCGCGGGCAGGACGACGACAACAACAACAATCATAATCTTAACCGCGGATCCCCTTTTCAGCCACGCACCCAGGGACAATGTAAGACCGTTCGGACCCTCCCTCTGATGTGGTGTGGGTCGCGGGTGAGTCGCAGGTGGGTCGCGGGTGGGGCCTCGGATGGGTCGCGGGGTGGGTCGCGAGTGGGTCGGCGGGTGGGTCGCGCGGTGGTGGCACTCTCCTAAACCAATGCAATGAAGTCCAGCGCAGGCGCCGAATTGTTTGGCTGTTACAGAATCAACATGGTGTCGGTGGCGAGGTGGGTCGCAGGGTGGGTCGCCGGTGGGTTGCGGGGTGGGGCCCTTCCAAGACTTGACGACTCACGAGATTCATCATATGTTTTTAGCGGGGTGGTCCCGCTTCGTTCCTCCTCGTACCTGTCGTCTTTCGTCCCTTCCTCCTCGTCCTTGCGCTTGTTTTCCACACGTTGTCGTCCTGCTCTTCTCGCTGCCCTCCCGGTCATCCACGCTGTCATCCTCTTCATCCACCGCCTTGTCGTCGCCATCATCCTTTTCCTCTCTCCCCCCCGCGAGCCCAGACGGAAACGATCGGCGCCTCCCGCTCTTGTCCGCTCAGCTTTGCCCACTCGGCTCGCGTGCCTCCGCCCCGCGCGGTCCGCCAGCCGATCCACCGCGGCGTCCGCCGCCGCCTCTGGCCAGGACAACGACGAGGACGACATCGACGAGGAGGAGGAGGAGGAGGAGGAGGAGGAGGAGGAGGACGACGACGACGACGAGGAGGGAAAGTTCGGGAAGGGTGGGAGGAGGCTGGTGGCGCGCAGCAGAACGGTGGGGCGAGGGGGGCGCGTTGTGTGGTGTGTGTGTGTGGTGATTGTGCGCGTGGAGAGTCAACGAAGACCGTTCTCGCCCACGTGCGCGCAGCCGTGCTTGCCACCGCTGGGTGGGCTCGGTTTCGCTCGTGTCGCCGTCGCTCCGAGCCGCACTGGCACCCGCACCGCCGCGGCCAGTCTTGGAATCATGTGCGGGGGGAGCAGGAAACCCGGAAGGCGCATCGGGCGCTTCGCCGCGGGAGGCCCTCGGCCCTGCCTCCCGCCCGTGCCCCCGGGAGGACAGACGCAGCCTCGCCGCGGCTTGTGTTCGGTGGCCCTGCCGGAGCGGGGCGGCCCCGCCGGCCAGCTGTGCTGGGGCCTCGGGACATTCGCGCCATCGCCGCCATCGTCCGCGGCGTCTCCGTCTTCGCCGCCCTCGCCGCCGCCGCCGTCGTTCGCCAGGCTGCGACTGCGTGTCCTCTCTGCGATCAGCCTCCGCTGAGAAGTGTGAGGGTGTGCGAAATTTCTGTCCGCCAGATTGGGGCACAGCGAATGTCTCCGAGATGGGTTCGTGCCGTTTGCCATCCGCGAGGGTCCCATTGTTGTTGGGGTGGCAGGCGTCTGTTGGAAGCCGCACCAGCAGGGTGTGAATATCAATGACGGTCGGTGTGGACGCTGGCCCTTTTCAGTACGGGGGCCCACAAGTCGTCTTAGAGAAGCAAGCCTTTTGCATTGGCCGCACCGTTGCCCAGGACATGATACTGTTTGCGCCGACCCAAGCCCTCCAACCGTTCAGCAGCCTTTCGAATCCATCAGAGTGCCTGCTCGCAATCTGTGGGTCCTCCACCCATGGCGATGCGAACTCCTTGCTGAATCAGACGAAGGGGATTTCTATGCTGGGCAATGCGTGCGTGTGTCAGCTGAAACTTGAACTCGGTTCATGGCATGGTCAGAGTGGCCTTCCCAACTCGTCCTGAACGTTTTCGGGGCTCCCCTTACTCACTCCCTCAATTCTTCTGCACAGCTTCGAGTCCTGGCTCAATTTGCCTCGCGTTCAAAGATATGTCCAGCACGGCGTCGAAAAGGAAAGCTAAATCGACGATTTTTCTGGAGCACATGTTCACACCTATACGAGCTTTCTGTTTTGGTCCAGTGCGCAGGCCTGGATAGGCTGTCAGTCTGTTCTCAGGCCACGTGTCTGTTGTGATGCCATGTTATACTTCGACCCGATGGATCCGACTCGATGTCGTTTCCGATCGGCCCGATCCGATTCGATTCCAATATTTCGACGATCCGATGCGGCACGATTTCTGCCGGGGTTTGTGTTTTTGCTTCTGGTGGCGGCAGTTTTCACTAGGTCCGCCCCAAAGCGCTTTCGAGCGCCGTCGACAGGGCTGCGGCAAGGTGCCAGGGAGCGGCACCGCTTGCCGCTCCCCCAGCTGTTCTCCGCTTCTGATTCTCCGCTTCTCAGTCTCATCCTTGCACTCCCACTCGTGGAGCGTGCTGGTGCTTGTTCTGTTTGCAGAGGGCAGCACATGGACATTGTATAGCTGAGCTGCCTATGTGGGAAAGTGTTGGTGTTAAGCTTAACCAACGGCCGACGTGTTTCATCAGCTCTCAGACGCTGCGCGTCGGAGTGGAGAGCGCTCAAGGTAGTCTTCTGTGGCGCGAGGGCGCCAGGGACTGAAACTTTTAAGCAAGGCTGGGCCCAACGATATTTTGCTGGGCTTCGGCTATGCTTTGTTTTTCGTTGTTGGGCAGGGGATAGGGAAACAGGAAAACCAGCACGAACAACACCACGAAACCAACACGAGACACAACGTTTAGGTTCAGCCCTGCTTTCCATTGTGGCGGGGCGGGGCTTCAGTAACCGACTGCCCCCGATAAATCATACCCCCCATTTCCCCCGTCTATGTTTAAAACCCCGTGTGAGTAGGATTTAATTGTGGAGAGGGGCGCGGAGGCCGAACTTGATAATCCCCGCGGGACGTTGCGAATCGAATATGCTATCATCTCATGCACCAAGTGCCTCCCGTGCAAGGACGGCTCCAATTGGTGCCGAGCCTGCATGGGCGAGTGGTTCGAGGCCGTGCGCAAGAGAGGTTTCTTGGCCAGGAGCGCCAAGGACCTCTCTTGCGCAGGCAAGTTGTAGCCACGAGACTCGAGATCTCTCGAGTCAGTCTTGTGCCAAGATCTACAAGGTCAGTCTACACGAGCGCCCAGGATCATCATCATCATCACCTTCGCCGGGAAAATCGTTGATTATCCCTGCCAGACGCCCGAACGTCAGTACCCCCAGGGGATTGTTCTTGGGAGCAGCCGGTTAATTTTTAAAGCGTTTTGAGAAACTGCCCCCCAAGGAAGTGGTCGGGGCCTCTGAGGCCGCGCACTGAAACACACACACACACAGTTCGTCGTCGAACGAGTTGTTTCGAGTTGTCTTCTGCTGAACATGAGGCTGCCGCTTGAGACATCCTGGGGGGCAATAATATATTCAGATCGGTAGCGAAGTCTTTCGGGTAATCAGGAATTGGTATTCCGCCTAAGACATCCCCCAAACGTTGGACGTTGCATGAGTTTCTTCGAGGCGTCTTAGCTTGCAACGTTTGATATCGATCGAGACACCGTTGCGCGCGAGAGGTTTTGAGACCTGTAGTTGGATCTACGGATCCCCACCAACACTGACGTTTCGCTCGGTGGATCTCCAAGCAGTAGGAAGTTCGACGAGTTGTGTTGGGACGTCGAAGCCCGAAACGAGCGGTTACACTCGATACATGATCCGAACATCAAAGTGCCGACTGCGTTCCCTTATTTGCTTCAAATTGAATTCGCTCCTGGAGGGCTTCAAATTGCCGAAGACGGTTCCAAACTGCCCCCCAAACAAAACACCCCAATACGCCCGATATTTTTTACAACATCAACCCAAGAACGAGCATGCGTATCACCATCACCATCTTCATCATCATAATATTTATCCTTTTCCCTCCGTGTCCTCATCGTCATCAACAGCATCATCCGTAGCCATTTTGGCTCAAATCGTTTTCGTTCAATATGCGCGGTTTCCTAGGGGACCCACTGGATACTTTTATTCCAAGGCCGGTCCCCCAAGGTTACGCCCTCACGATCCCCTCAGTGAACTGCCCAGCGGCTTGGGGTTTTCCCATCTCCCGTTCACTCGCATTTCGGTTTTTCTAGCCATGGGCACTGGCGGCGTCATGGCGCTGCTGCGTGCCATCCGGGCGCAACAAGCACAAAACATGGCCACAATCAGCAACTCCATCCGCCAGACTGGCCAGACTGTCGCGGGGCTCGTCCACCTGGAGCCGCAGATGGCCGAGGTCAACGTCAATATGTCCACGCTCGAAAAGCAGCTCGAGGCGAACTATACCGAATGCGCGGAGGTTGTTTAATTCCTGAAAGAGGATATAGACTACGGCGACGGCAGCAGCACTACTGGTGGCAATCGCCACAAACGTCTCAGATGTTCTCCTTCGTCGGTTGGGTCCTGGGAGCCGCCCGCTTCGCTGGCAAGCGGGCTGCGCCAGCCTGCTCCTCACCGCGACTCTTCGGACCCGTGCCGCCGCTGGATCGGCGCGTGCCCGCGCATAGTGCTCGATATCACGAGACGTGCCACCTGGGAAAGTCTGGTCGTTCGTTTCCCTGCCCATCTCCCTGCTGATGCAGCAACCCCTCACTTTCACAGGTCCTCCCAGAGTTTCTCGATCATCTGGTCGGCGGAGCAGCATGCGAAGGAGTTCGCGACGTGTTTCGGCATGGCGGGGGTGTCGTGGACTGACCGTCGGCGTGGGGACGGCCACCAGCAAAAGACTTCGCAGCTTCTTTGCCTTGGAAACCTAGCTCATTAAGTTCGCAAGCGCCAGCGCCACCTTGGAAAGGCTGTGATGCCCACGATGCAGTTGTTAAAGCAGTCAACCTGATGGTCGGCAGAGCGCAGGCTCGGATGCTCGGGTTTCTCAGATTCAGTGGCGCTCACAATGGAATATGATGCCTCCGAACTCATCAAAATAGACGATTCTGGAACCGCAGAGGATTGCGAACACTGGGGCCTCACAGCTGCCAACATCGAACCGATCATCAGATCGCTGAACACCGTGTGACGCGAGGACGCACGGGATGCCGGACATGATGATAATAAAAAGGAGCCTGCCTGCCCCTGCCCCGCTTTGCTCGCCGCCTTGCGGCGTTGCTGTGCCCCCTGGCGCCTCTGATTCGTCTTCTGCTATCCCATGTTTGGCGCGAGCTCGTCTCTCTGTCTGCTCGTGGAATGCTGCCACGCTCTTCGGTGCAGGAGCGGGGCTCCTGCTTTGCGGAACACGTCTCTTCGTTTTTTGTATTATTATTATTATTATTCGAAAAGGCTCGCTGAACAAATGTTGCGCTCTCTTAATTCAGGGAGCACACGGGCACGTCGGGGATCATAGCGCTCTCTGTCGTCTCCTCCCTCACCATCGTTGTGTTGGACCATTCTTTTCTGATGGCGTCAGTGGTGGTGTCGTTCTTCTTGTCCACGAACGGTTACACATGCACTTCGACTCCTTCAATACAATTGAAATATTACAAGGTCGCTGTGTTGCTCTGCCAATGGGAGGTCGTCATGGCTCTCTCACGTTGTGCTTTTCCGATCCCAGTCCTTGTGATAGTATTGTTGGCAAGAAAGAATATCTCGCGCATGTTGTTCGTGGGGTGGACCCCGTGAGCTCGATTGTCTTCATTGGAGGTGATTGGAATTCCTGTGCTCTTGGGGGGGGCCGTCAGTATGTTGACCCCGGGCCCGATCGCGCCTCGAGTCTCTTCACCCAATATACCGAGCTTGCCCAAGACAGCCGCGCACATGCCAACCAGCGTATTGACGAGTTACTCAGCACGGTTCGCCTGGACCGAATATATTGCAGTTTGCTGCCGTTCATCGTCTCAGACTTTGCGCCGGCTGCAGGATTGGAGGTGCAGCCGGCCGAACTGCGAGATGTCGGCGATCATGTCCCTGTGTCTATTTGCTCTTCAATGTTCAAGCCGAATGCGGTGCCCGTGCTTACCAGGTGGCTCTGTCGCCTACCCGATTTTGGCGTGAAAGTGGAGGTTGCCATCGAAGAGCACGGTCTGTCTGATGACCCTGCTACTGCCATTCAGGAAGTCAAGTATATCAGGCATGTTTTTGCACATGACGCGCGCATGAGTATGCGCGCATCCAGTTCGCGCTGCGTGTGGCGTAAGATTGCGTGGCGCACGCGTTGCGACCGTGCTCGCCGAAGGCAGGACTCACGTCAGAGATGCTGGCTTGGAGAAGATGGCCCCGTCTTGCCGAGTTTCGTAGATGAAGTTGCCATCCTGGTCGACGCAGACCTTATCTATATATATATATATAT